TTGTTGGCCGGGAGACTGTAGCTGAAAGGACTCTGGGGGATCCTTAACCACATCAGACTGAGAACCACTGGGATGGTGCTATGACCCTAACTTACTGATTGGTTTCAAGTATCGGGTGTGAGGTGCTGGAGGAAGTCGGAATAACCCAAAATACAAAACTCACTGCCATCAAGTCACTATACAGCAAGGTAGAACTGTCCCTTTGGGTTTCTGAGGCCGTAAATCCTGATGGGATGAGAAAGAACGCCCCATCGTTCTCTCCTACAGTAGCTGGTGGTTTGATCTAACTCAACATGCCACCAGGGCGCTGTAAGTTTAAGTATGGTGGCACAGTTAAACAAATATTAAAAATGGAAAACCAGCTCCATTTTTTCCCCAGAGAAAAACATTACATGCTCGCTGTACAAAAAAAGAAGAAACCAAATAATGTTGGAAATAGGAAAACTTTGTCTTTATTCAGATTAATGATAATAACTCTTAAAATCTATTTTGTTGGAAATAATTTTGTTTGTCATTTACTTATTTTCTAATGTTAGTAGTTTTAATTTGTTCTGAAATAAAATTTATTAGGCTTTTATTCATTTAAAGAAAAAAGAAGTGAGGATGTCGAGAATTTGTCTCACATACTATGGCATATTGATTGGTACACTAGAGAGTCAGTGAAAAAGATAAAAACTCTCAAGGGGAAGAATCGACAACAGTGGGCTCTCTAACATAACAGTGTGGGGATGGTACAGGATTGGTCAGTTTGTGCTCTGGTGTACATTAGATAACTATGAGTGAGAGTTGATGCAAAGGCACGTAACAATTCCAGACGTCAGTTCTTGGATTTCATTGTTTTCGGCCTGTTAGCATTTACCACTTGACACTTAACACTCCCCTCCTTGAAACACTTTTCAAAAAATAATTAAAATAAAGTTTAAAAAAGAAAAGAAACACTTAAACTTAGGTTCCAAGCTACCATATTCTCCTAGCTTTCTTTTTATTTTATTGGACTCTCATTTTCAACCTCCTCCTTTCTATAATTTCCAGTTTTTAGAAGTTCGAAGGTTAGTCATTATACCTCTTCTCTTTCATATTTGTACTTGTTCCCTAGATAATCTTAACTAGTTTCATGGCTTTAAATATCACCTATATGACTCATAAGTTTACTATACATATTTCATCAATTCAAAGGCCCACCTCATTTCCATATATTAGCATTTCTTAAATGGTTATTTATGATAATGATTTTATAATTGGCAGCCTTTTAAAATAGTACATTTTATGATGTTTTACAGTTTGTGAAATATAGTCTATCTTTAACCCACACTTTTTTTTACTAAACTGTTTATATATAAAGGGGTACCCCCCCAAAAAATTTTTTTTTTAAATCTATGTATTTAACTTTTTTTACAAAACCTTATCACCTTCAAAGTACTCTCCATTGTAGTAATACATTGGTCAAATCTGTGATTCCATTCTTGGAAACATTTTTCAAACTCATCATCTGTCTGAATGGCTGACAGCACTTCCCTCGATTTTTTTTTTTTTTTCTTCACCTCTTCTGCATCAGCAAATCATTGACCTTTCATGTCCCTCTGCATTGGCAGAAACAAAAAGAAGACATGAAGCAAGGTCAGGTGAGTAAGGTGTGTGGGTCGAGAGGCATGCTGGGGTTTTGCCAAAAACTGGCACACTGACATGGCAGGTGCATTGTCTTAGTGGCAATACCAGCCCCCCATCTGCCACAAATCAAGCCTTTTTTAGCACACACTGTTATGCAATCTTTTCATACTGTGATCTCTTGAGGACATACCCAGGCAAATGCCTAAGGGAGATTGCCCTTCCCAGGGGTGTCTTGATGTCACTGGTTTTCAGAACAATTCCTGAGGGCAATACTGCTCTCATCCTTACTTAATGGTCAGGGGGGATTCAATGGAAGCTTAAAATATGTGGGTATTTTGCAAATGGATTTTGGGTTTTCACTATCAACCGTAGCCTTCTGCAAAGGAGGTACTCAGACTTTAAGTTCTAATACACTAGCTACCTGTCTAAAGTTTAACACATATCTATCCAGGTCTATTATTTTCTTTGCTCTTAAATTGTGAGCTCACTATTACTAAAGATTCTGTATTTTTATCTTGTTTTATTCTATGGCCTCTTTCCTAGAATGTAACATTTTTTATTTTATTTACTACTGATTTTCTAGCACCTACAAAAATAACTAGGACTTAGCAGATGTTAATTTATTTATTTTTTCCTTTTTAAATGGTCTATTGTGAATTCTCAAACTCACTGCCATTGAATCATAGCCACCTACAGAACAGGGTAGTCCACTCCTCTAGCTTTTCAAGACTGTAGCGGGATGGGAGTAGAACGCCTTATCTGGCCTCATCTTTCTCCCTCTGAGCAGCGGATGACTTATGAGTTAGGTAAAGGTTTATAAAACAGATCGTGAGGTTCATACACATTCAGATTTATCTCATCAATTGCAATCCCGTCAAGGCACCATCACATTTTTTCATGTTCTCCTTATGATTTCCATTCCTCCTCCTTTCCTAACCCTTTGAGCTTTGACCTTGGGTGTCACCCCTGTGATCTCAGATCTTTGATTGCTGCAGACCTGTGACTAAGGGCCAGTCTTTAGGGGTCGTTTCAGATTCCCTAACTAACAAATCTGCCCTCTCAAAATTACTTTTTAAATGAATGTTCCTTTCACCTCTCCATCTTCAACTTGTTTTCCTATTGAAATTCTATATGTTCAGTGTGAAACCTCAGTTTTGAACTCAATTCATTCCATAGTCATTTCAAACACCAAAAACTTAGAGATATGAACATATTTTTCCAAAGAAATAATGAAAAACCAAATAAATGGTTTTGACGCTAAAAAATTACACTTAAAATTCATTTTTCCAGGACTAACACAATGTTAACATCCCTAGATGGTGTATATGCCCCCTAAAACATTTAAAATGCAATAAATAAAAGTATAATATTTTACTCAAAGACCCCCCAAAAAAACCCCACAGTGATGAATGTTTTAACACACTAGTAAGTGCTGCATGTTGTCCAAGCGAGAGTGGTGCTTAGACTGAAGTGTCACCCTGGTGTCTGCAGCAAAATGAGACTTAACTCACTCGTGGCCAGGACAGGTTTTTTCAAATCAGGTTTTCTGTTCAACTGTTGAACAGTCACTAAAACACTGATTGTTTTTCGAACTTTGCTGTTCTGGTAATGGAAAGTTTGAGCTTGGCGCCTTCAACAACCTTGATACTTTAAAAATCAGTTCAAATGCTGTCACCTAAAAGCGTGTAAGTGATGTCTACACACCACCGTTCAGGGTGCTTCCTAAGGAATTCATCTTTTTTTTTTTTTCTTTTTTAACATTTTATTAGGGGCTCATACAACTGTTATCCCAATCCATACACACATCAATTG